GGGTCGGAGGTCGAGCTTGTGGTTGGCGGACGAGATATCGCCGTCACGAACGCCAACAAGGCCGAGTACGTGGACAGGATGGTGCAGTACTTGCTGTTTGACCGGGTCGCGCCGCAGCTACAGCATTTGGTCCAGGGCCTGTACGATGTGCTGCCGCAGGAGCTGTTGATGCCGTTCGATTACAAGGAGCTCGAGTTGATGCTGTGTGGGTTTTCCGAGATCGACGTGGCCGACTGGAAGCGGTCGACGATCGTGTCCAAGTCGTTGGAGGACGTGGTCGGGTGGTTCTGGGACGTCATCGAGTTTGACATGACGGCGTCGGAGCGGGCCAAGCTGCTCCAGTTCACGACCGGATCGTCTCGCGTGCCGTTGCAGGGCTTTCGTGCGTTGACGAGTCATGACGGCCAGCTGTGCCCGTTTTCGCTGCACGGCGTGCCGTACGAGCGCGGCGTTTTCCCCAAGGTGCACTCGTGCTTTAACCGCATCGACCTCCCGATCTACCCCACGAGGGCGCTGCTGGCCGAGGGCCTGTTTGCCCTCGTCAACATCCAGAGCATGGCGTTCACCATGGTGTAATTTTTGCCGAGTCGGTCCTTTGCGTGCTGTTAATTTATCAACTTGTACACTCTTTTTCAACGTTGTCGGTGCAACACGATCTTTATCAAACGCGATGGGTGCCCTGCCAACCTTCCGCCTTGTCCTGGCGCTGCAGTCTGTGATGGCGGAAAGAGAACGCTTCGATTGTGTCGACTACGACGGACGGAATGCCTCGTGTGGCTATGAACGAGTGCTTCCACTACACGACATGTTCGTTGTATATGGCCGCAGCTGCCCAACCCGTGCATCAGCGTCATGCATGCATCGCTGCCAGCATGCTCACCTCCGCAGACACGCCCCAGGTTTGTAGCTACACACTTTGAGCGGCGCGGAGAGGTTGGTCGTGACCAGGCTGTCGGCCTCGACCAAGAACCCGTCGTCGTTGCTGTCGACGGTGGTCGGAAGGAGGACGTTGTCGAGGGTGCTGCGCAAGGTGTTGGCCAATGCTGGCCACACGTTGTCCGACGACTCGCGTGATGCTCGAGTTGTACACGAGAAACGATTTGTATTGAAACCACATGCGACGATGGCGTTGGGTTGTCGCTTTCAGGGCGGACGCGCTTGTCGACATAGTGTGTGTCGCGCTGCGTGGGTTATGCGTGGCGCTGCAATACCACTCGCCTTCCGGACCGTGTGCCACGTGGGCGACGCAAAGTCCTACCAAGGCCATGCACACCACTCTGTAGAAACAAACCTGCACGCCACGTTTCGTCCGACCTACCGTTGGAGGCGCACAAATCGAGTCGCCGGGCCCAGTCGGGCGTGTTGGATGCAATGAAGTGCGGACGATATGGTTTCGTCCAGTCGCGGCAGATCACGACATTCGCATCGACTTGAATCGCGACGAGAAGCAGGTGACTCGCCGACACATCCCCGTCGCGATCGACAATGCATTCGATCGAAGTGGTCGGTGGAAACATGCTCAGCACTCGGGCGTTGGTCGGGCGGCAGTTTGGCTCCACTGGAGCTCGATCAGGGCTTGACAGGTTGTACGGTCCGAACTCCGCGGTGGGCAAACTAACGACTCGGTCATCTACCTCGAGCACCTCGATGTTGTCTGCATCGCACAGTCACACGACTGTGTGCTCGACGTGATAATACGCGTGACGAAGGTTGCATTGGACGACAAGACTTCGCCAACGTAGACGCACGCGGCGTTCTCGGGCCGTCGGGTGGTATGGGCCACCATCTGCATCGCCCGCCGCTTCACTTGGAGAACATGGACGGCTGTGCCGAATCAACACGGGATGCACCGCGTCGTCTTCGGCCATGGAATCCACCAATATGTAATGGTTCAAGTGTCGGCGGCTCCTAGGAGGTCCTGGCCATTGGGTACATCTGCCACTTTTGGACCTGTAGATACAACATCTCGGAAGCGACGTCCATCACGCCAGCACGTAAGAGTTCCGCGCGGCAACGTCCGCTCGTCACCAGCCATTCGATACACAACGTCATGCGGTGATGGCGCCGACGGCAGTCGCGCCGGTTCCCCCAAGTAGAACACTCCGCCAGGCGCAGTTGCAGGCACCATCTCTCGATTGAGCTTCAGGAGCGGGCAAACTCACCCGTCGGGTTGCACGACGCGCACAATTGAATAGTGCCAAAGAAAACGGACTGAGAGCAAGGATGTATCCTGTCAGGAGGAGGTAGCCGACGCGCATGCCACAAGGGAGCTCGTTCGCCAACTGGCCAACGTCGCCGTGGCGGAGGGAAAACGTTGCAGACGTGGTGCGAAAGCCGTCGGAAAATCGGTGATCAGAATGAATGGCTCGTGCGTGCCAAACACAAATCGTTCACAACTGGCACACAGATGACGGACGATTTGTACCAAGTGACTCCAGTGTGTACGACCTCGCTGGCGTGAGTCGTCGACGACGACGGAGTCGACCCCGATGGCTCGCTAACTGAGCAGCGTCGACGAGAATGGAGCGCTCGGCCATTATTTGCTTGAGGGCGTGGTTGGAAAAGAACGAGTGAGGACAGCTTGGGTCAATGGTGTGCCCTGTAAGCGGGCTTATTCCCGTGGTCCTTCATGTACGCCATGAGCGACGCGCGCTCGTACGAGTGTCCGTCGCACGCGAGCACCACGGGATCTGTCATGAGGGCATGGGTAAGTGGGCAGAGGAACGCCGTGTGCAAGCCTGTAGATACGAGAAGGAAACAGCCGTGGAGGCAGTCGTACGACGCAAACTCGTCGATCGCTTGCTTCAGCGCCAGGTTAGGCACGAGCGTCATGACCTCGAGACGCGAGTTGGTCACCGGGCCAGTCGATTCGCGATCGAGTCAGGTCGAAGTGTTCCATTGCGGCCAATTCGACCCACGACTTTGTTCGCTTCCCATCCTTGTTGCTTTGTGACAACACCGTCGTGGGCGATGAAGCGATGACAACGTCCCGATGAACAAAACACTGGCACCCGACCTCATGCACGGGCGAGCCCAACGTACAGCAGTAGTTTGTGCCGAACGACGTGCGAGGTTCTACTCGGATCTTCTTTGGCGAGGTGGACGTGGCATTGAACTCGGGACGACTCGAAAGGAAACCCCGCTCACAATAAGCTACGGGTCCGACGTGAGTTTGTACAAACGAAAGCACCAACGTGATTGCCACAGTTTGGTGGACAAGTTAACGACGGCGATACCTGTCGAGGGAACCACCAGTCCCTCAACTCGTCTTCGTCGACTCGTCATGGACTTGTCTCGGCAAGACGAAATTCGAGCGTATCCGTGGCGAACAGTGCTCGTGACAGGCTAACGACGGCGCTCCAGAGCATTTGCGTCGCGGGTACAAGTCGACGTGCAAAATGGGCTCACTTCTTTGTCGAAGAAGTTGCCTCGACACTTCCAACGTTCGCCCCGTCTCACAGAACGTGCCACGCCGATGTCGAACGTCATGCAAAACGGTATTCACTCTGACTTTGGTGCGGCGCCTCTACCCTGTCCACGTGACTGATATTTGTTCACAGTGGCCAGGAAAAGAACGCGATCGAAATTTTGGTGAAGGGCAAGTGGAGGCATTGCTCCAGTGACAATGCAAACTAGTGCAGGCTGTACCGAGGTGTCCCCCAACTGCCTTGCGCTCTCGCATGAGTTTGCCACCGTCGAAATGGCGACAATGGCTCATGCCATGTACCCGACACAACGGTGGAGTAGATTCGAAATGGAATCACATTAATTCACCGTGAAAGGCGCGCGCAGCTACAAGTGAAAGTGTAGATCCGGTGAAAATGCATGAAGCATCACAACGTCGTGAAGGAATACATCGGGATACCTCTTAAAGCAGCCGAGTCGTTTTGCATGCGGGATGTGCTCTGATCAAGATATTGGCGGCGTATAATGGATTCGCCTGTTGTGGTGGATGGGCTCGGCAGAGACTTAGTGCCATGGCTAGTCATAGAGACTTGAGGCGGCAGCGGTTGCGCATGGCCTCCACCGTCAGCGCCATGATGAAGAGCTCAATTTCAATAGCCATTCGTTCCGTCACGATTGAGAATGCGCGCTGTGACGCTTTTTTCAATGTGGTTTGAAGCTGTGGCTGTGTAGGACCGATGCTTCTAGGCAGGCAACTCTGACTTCCTTCAGTCGCGTTGGGATCGCGCGATGCGAGTATAGAAGTTTGACAAAGTATTTGAACCATGCTTGGTCCCCTTGCAGCCAAGGCGGAGCCTCTGAGTGGAAATTTAGCCAATCCACAGCTCGGCGCTGCCTTGAGGCATGCTTTGGGCCCAAAAGCACTCCAAGTCGTCAAGGCCAACGGAAAAACTGGAAGTTGCCATGAAATCCAAGCCCAAGACTTGGCTGTTGGCCGTTAGGAAGTCTGAAACTGGCGGGTTGAAACTCGTTTGTGTTGTATTCGATCGTGCCGTCGAGGTTTTCGTGCATCGTTTGAACCTTCGGCATCCTGTTCGCAAGGTCGAAATCTCTATCACAAGCACGCACAAGCCAGCCAAAGCACATGCACCGGCCTCCTTTTGCTGACGCGTCCCGCTCGCCTTGGTGCAATGTGCGGTGTCGTCTGGCGGTTTCACTTTGCCCAATTGTGATTGGTGGAATCCAACGATGTCACACACGCGTCGATTCGGCGCGTCGACCGGAACGGCGACATGGCAGAAATCTTCTTGCGATGGAATCGCCAGGTCCACACCTCGTCCCGCCGCTCATGCCACCAACTGCGGAAGACGCCTCGATCATGGACGAGGAAGATCAGCTCTTGCTTTGCCAGGACGGATACGCATGGGACTTTGTGCTCGTGTTCCCATCGATCCAACAGACCGTGACGCCGCCATCTCCGTTGAGCGACGTCCTTCATCGACTGCGCTTGCCCAAGAAGAGTTCCAAGACAACTCCCACCATCGACGAGATTTGCTACCGGCTCAAGAAAGCAGGGCTGACCCTCAAGCTTGTGTGTCCGTCAGCGTCAACGTGGTCGACCAGCACCGACATTATTCTTTGCTTGGTGAGGGGATCGCGCCAAGTTTTTGCACGCGAAGCAAATCGCATCGACTTTCTCATGCCGATGGACAAAGAGAAGCTGCGTGACGTTTCGCTCCATGGATTCCCCAACTGTGGAATTGCTCCGTTTCCAATTGACGATACGTTGCACGAGTTCAACATGTCCCCCTACGACTTCATCTACTTCAAATACACGGGCCGCGAGGATATGCAGTTGCTGTACGCCAAGCAAGGACCGCACTATGGTCTCTTTACGAGCAGCCAGCGTATTTTTCTCCTCGAGAGCATCATGACAAATCGACATGGAGGTGCCGGCCTGAACCTCGACAAATTGAAGCATGCGAACGTCCTCTCGACATATTTTTCACTCCACGACGCCGCCGAACTCAAGAATTTGGCCTCCTTGTGGCTTCATTGGGGGCAATTTCCATGGCAGCAACCATTGCATGCAATCCAGCGTTATTTTGGTTCGCGCATTGGCCTATACTTTGCGTTTCTTGGGCACTATACAACATGCTTGATCGCTCCTGGTGCCGTTGGCTTTGTCCTGTGGCTTGTGGAATTGTCCAAGCGCATCCCCAAGAACTTTGTCGCGGCCATCGCAAGCACGTTGATCGTCATCTGGGCTACGTTTTTCCTCAAGTCGTGGAAGCGCCAAGCGTCGAGACTTGCGATGCAGTGGGGAACGTCGACCTTCAGCACGCTGGAGCAAGTTCGTCCGCAGTACGTTGGGCAAATGGTCCGAAGCCCGGTGACAGGACAGCCGATGCTATACTTCAGCAAGAGAGAAAAGAGCCGTCGACGTTGTCTAACCTGGCTGCTTTTGACTGTCCTTATACTGTTGGTGGCGGCGGTGGTCGCCGCTATCTTCTATTTGCAATTTCACATGATGAAGCGGGGATACTCAATTCGCGTGGCGAACACGGAAATTCTCTTGGCCGGCCCTGTCACTTCTCTTGCCAACGTCGTTCAAATCAACGCGATGTACTACGTCTACAACACAATCTGCGAGGCAATGAATGAATTCGAAAACCACCGCACTCAGTCATCTCATGAAGGTTTGCACCTGGAAAATGGTTGAAAATGTTAACGCATGCAACAGGGGCGTTCATTGTCAAGTCGGTGCTCTTTCACGCCGTCAACAACTTTGCTGGCTTGTTCTACATCACGTTCGTCAAGACTTACATCGGAGCGGCATGTGTTGAAAATGACTGTTTGGGCGAGCTGCGGCTGTACCTTCTCATGATTTTCTGCTTTCAGTTGGCAAATGGATTGATACAAGACTGGGTCGTACCTCATGCGCGCGTGCTATTCAGTCAGCATCGCGCCGGTCGTTCTTCAGTCGCTGTGGCGACGCAAACGTCCGTGGAAGCTCAATTCTACCTATTGGACTATGGCTGGCGCGTGACATTCAATGAATACTTGGGGCTGTCCATGAAGTTTGGTTTCACCATCCTCTTCCTTGGTGCATCTCCTGCCATGTCGTTGCTCACGCTGCTGAACAACTTGATCGAACTTCGATCGGACTCTACGAACCTTGTCATGAATCACCGCCGCCCATTGCCACGCCAGGCATCTACATGCGGCCAATGGATGTCCGTGCTGGAATACCTCACAACGCTGTCAATTTTCACAAACGGGTAAGTCTTGCCTGAGTTGAATGACCTGATCACCATGACATGGTAGGTTCGTCGCTGTATATGCGTCCAACGCACTTTTGGACAGTTCAAGTGTGGATGGTAAAAACTTACAACTTCGCGCATTCGGAGGCTTTGTTGCCGTGATGTTGATCCTTCGCTATTGCGTGACAACTTGCATCAAGGACACCCCGCACAATGTTTCCATTCAACTGAAGCGACAAGCCTTCTTGGCGACTAAAGTCTACACACGAGAAGCTGACGACGTCGTGCCAGTGTACGAGTCCATGGGTAGTGTGCGGTTGCTCTTAGTCGACTCTGCATCTCCCGTTTGAATGCCCATCCCAAACCACTTCGTCCGCGCTTCGTCTGTTGCCTTGCCTTGCTCGACTGAATTTGAAAAATGCCATTTTGGCGCGCAGAGAGACATCATCCGGATAACGATTTTAAATTATGCGGAATCGCTTATCTGGAAATTCCTTGCATTTTTTGCGTGCATTGCAGTGAAGATGGCGAAAGTTGGGGTGACCATGTCCATCCGCTTCCGCGGGGAGGAAGTACATGCATTCTCCGTGCACCCCGATGTTCCGGAGGACATGTACAGCACGAATGAGAGCGAAACGATCCCGCATGCGTACGGCGGAAAGGAAGATGGCGGGCCTCTGCCTGCACCGAAACAGACTGGACCTCATGCGTTATTGGCCACAGCAATCAAGGTACCCAAGCATCTCGCACTTCGATTACCCGAGTTACGTTGTCCATGTCTAGAACGCCAAGTCGAAAAGCGAAGCATTCTTAGCTGACAAGTGCGAAGGTCCTGTAAAACTTGACGACGTGTAATACTATGATCATTCATTCAGGCTATGCCATGTCTACTCTGTCGGGTGAGGCGGACAGCATGTTGGTGGTCTCTCCTGTCGCCAGCACGACGCGTTTGGGTCGACCGACCTTGCGCTTGTGCCAACGCTTCGTCTCGGGGGCAGGACCAACTTGAAAGATCGCGTTAGTTTGCGATAAGCGCTGCGCCGACGTGCTTGGTACGTTGGTCTTGGAGCGTTTGCAAGACGGGCAGTACCAGTCCACATTGCGGGGCGGTAGGTTGTGGAGGCCCACGCATCTGGCATAACACAACTGTTTGTGACGTGTACATCATGTCGTTCAATCTCACGTACGATAGATGGAATGCAGCAGGACATCCGTCGCAGCAGATCAATTCACCGGCTGTGCCACATCGGTGGCATGCATCTTCGTTGAGGTCGTTCTGCACACGTCGTTGCCATGAGATCCACAAGCATTCATTTTTCGACCATTTAAAACCATTTTCGACAAAAAAGAACTAAACAATCCAATAAAAGAACGTACGGTTTCTCCGTGTTGATGGTGGACGCCGTTTTCAATGTTTTCCACGAATCGATAGATCCGAGCGACGTCGAGGTTGGCGGTGGACACTCGAAGGCGGGCATTCCACACGGATCGACCTTCGGCAAACTGATGCACTTCTACAATAGAGCTTAAGCCACGTGGACGTCCAAGACGCGTCTGCGCCGCGTACCCTTGATGAGTTGGTAGCGTGAATCCAAGAGCGATTTGCGGCGCGGGCGGGGAGCTGGCGAGGGTGCTGCAGCAGCACGTTTTTTCGTCTTTTGTTGGGATAGGAGTTTGGTGTAGTCCAGCACGCCACCGGCGAGGAACGATGTAGTCTTTGTAGGTGGATTCGTGAGCACTTGGTGGTACCAGTTGGAGGTCGTCTGGCGCTTCGTGGGTCGGATCGAGTTGTAGTACGAATCAACGTCGACGTCATCGTGTACGGCGTGGCTGAGGAAGAGCCGCTTCTTGGCAAATCCATATTCGTCCAGCCAGTCTCGGTCCAACTACTCACTGTTTCAATGGCTTGGTACGAACGGGCAAACGTACGCGAGCACTTTTGAAAAGCGCCAGGGACGAGACTTTGATCGGGCGCGTCCACGGCTGCGCATGGCTGTCGGATGTTTTCTAAAAGGCAGATCAGAGGCTCGTTGATGGCTCCATCCATGGTGTTGAATGCAGATTTACATCCTCGGCCTTGATCGTGTCCTTTTCTTTGAACCCCATTTGGCCTTTGCATGTTGCGGCCCCGCAATGGCATGTCACGCTTGTGGCCCCCACGTGGGTAAACTACGAGTCGAATGGGATGCCAACGATGCGTGGAGTACCACCGCACCTGGTAATCGAACGTGATTTCTTCGCCACGGGCGATGGGGGCGTGTGCAACAATCCCAATCCGAAGCACATTGCCTTCGCACGTCCTAATGCCACAACGTGTTGAGGAGGGCGGCGTCAGGACGGACCGAGGACCATTTCTGAGCGCTGCAGTTGGGTGCGCAGCTGTGGTTGATGAAGCGGCTCACGTTGCCTTTGTACTGGGCGTCGATCAAGATATCTTTTTCCATCTCGAGCATGTACGTGTGTGTCTACGCTCGCTCGAAATCAAATACGCCTTGCACAGTTTCTCCATCCACGTACGTTTCCCGAAGCGAGGTTGGCGGCGCGGCGGTCCGCGGCCATGGCTTCGTCGATGACCTCGCCCACGTATTCCACAACGAAATCGCCGACTTGGATTGCCTCGTCGGCGACAAGTCCGAATCCTTTTGGCCCCATGTATTGAACCCGCGTTGCCCTGATCAAAACAGCATCGTCACACGAGAACGAATGGAGGCGGTGTGGCACACTTCGTGGCTTTTCGTTGGAATGGGCGGTTGCGGCACTTGGACGGATCGGGCGCGGAGCACGTGTTCTTGCCACACTCGATCAAGACCAGTCTAAAAAATGACATGATCGCACGATGACATACAGGTCAATGATGTGAGCACCTGTTGTGGCACGTATCGTTGCAATAAGTCGGGTCTTCAACTTGTTTAAGGTTGGTGGACGAGTATGACCTCGTCGTCTCGACTGGCGACGACGCCTGCGCAGGCCGAGTTGAGCTTCCTCGCTGGTTGTCTTGCCCGTAACACGTGCACCGACTGCTCGAAGAAGCTTGGGCCAACGGTGCCTTCCTTACAAGGTACACATTCTTGGAAGTTTTCGAGTATTTCGGAGGCAACCACGTCAGCTCGACCGCCTGCATGTGACGTTGCATGTGGTTAGCCACAACGAGCAAACGCGGTGCTCACCTCGGCTTCAGCGATCTCGTCACGAGTAAAGTCCAAGGTGTAATCGGATGCAGCTCTGATGGAATTGGCCAGGTCGTGGAAGTATGTGGCGAGAAGTGGGTCCTTGCAGAAAGGTAGGACAAAGTCGGTCGGTGATGAGGGCAATGTATGCTTCACCAGCGCCGTGAACACACGTTGCGCAAGCGTCAGAGGAGGTAGTCGCGCACGGGCAGGCGTTGATGGAGCCGTGGCCGTGTCGCCGCGGCGTCGAGCTCCCATCCGCGTTTCGCTTCGTCTGGCTGGTCCTTATCACGTGCCTGCGATGGCGGCAACAATTGGCTTTCCATTTCAAACCAAACAAGCCAGCCAATCACGTCATGCGTGCTGGGTGGCGAGGGGGAACGGCGACCAAGGCCAGGACGTGCTGCGACATCACGACGACAGATAATGGCCACGGTCACATGTCTCCGCTGGTTGTCCCACTTATCGTCGTCATTGTGCTGTACAAGCAATTGCCAAGTTCTTCATGCACTACAGTCCCACGATGTACTAAAATGGGATTGCCCATACATGACCAAGGTATGTTGGGAAAATTGGCATGAAATGTCGGCAACGTCTCCTATGGGAGAGCGTTAACACAATTAGCATGAAACAATATCTTGACGACTACGGGAATATTTGACAAGAATTCGTGGGAAAAGCTAGAGAGTAGTATGGAGGAAATCGTCGATAAATGCCCTGCAGTTTCCATAGAAACGAGGTGCAGTTGTACGCTGAAGGTATCCGGATAACTTGATTCGTTCAGATTTTGGATTCATGCAGCCGCCCAAGATATGGTATCTCCAGGTCCTGGACGTGGCAACATCCGTGTGCGTCTACAGCAAGCAATGGCATTGGCATGAAGATGCAAGAGTTGAAGGACTGCGAGCCCTTGTGCACAGCTTCTCCCAGTTTGCTCGAGAAATCGACGGCGGGCCAGTGCAGACCGTTCATTTTGGTCAGTCGCCGTCGATCCAAGTGCCGAGGTGGTCAAGCAAAGCTGCAACGTCGATGGCTGGCAGACGGTATTCCACGTCGCTTCGTCAAAACTTGCTTCAATCTCGGTCGTCCAACTCTGGGTCGAACTACGGGACGAGTCCTGCAGCTCCAGCGTTGTGCCTCAACACGTCCACGTCACCTTCCGTGGGGGCGTTCCATGCTGTCTCGCCGCAGTCGTCGCCCAACTTGCACTCCCCTCAGTTTTCGCCAGCCAAGCACCACCTGCCCCACAAACTTCAAATGTTGTCTGTGGAAAACGACAACTTCCAAGTTGTCTTGTTCCACAATGTCCACAACGACGACGTTCGCGGCACGGCCCAAATCCTTCTCGATTCGTTCACGTCCATGTTTCACGACTCGAAAGAGTACGAGGCAGCCAAGCCCATCATTCAAAGTCTCTTGGACAAAGACGAGAACCGGCACTTGCTCGGCCTGTTTCAACGGTTTGATCCAGTCGTTGCAGACGTGGTCGTGGTTGAGTCCTGCGACAGTGCCGATGGGATTCAGACTGCGCAGGTGTAAGAGTAGATATGGTAAACATATTCGGTCCTATTGTTGTTGACATGCTATGCCACCGGAGGGACTGCCATGAGAGCTGCAGCATCAGTTTCTCAAGCACGAGGGTGTCGAAGGACTGCCATGGGAGCAGCAGCATCATTTCTCAAGCACGAGGGTATCGAAGGACTACCGCTAGAGCCACAGCATTATCTTCTGTGCACTGACAGTCGACGACAGCATCGGGGGAGCTTAAGCTGGCATTTGCTGAAAAATTGGCCGATTTTGGTCTAGAATACACCAA